TCGACCGTGAGCCATTTCTGACTGGACAGTGTTGCATGTGAGCATGTATCTCCTCTTTAGGAGAAAGTTGTAGTGATACATGGGGATTACATCCAGGAAAACTGTGGGCCAGTTCTGCCAGGGAAGCTGTGGGTTAGGGCAACATTCAAACCTGTTGTTCAGAGGTGCAGTATTAGTCATAGTGGACTCAAGGGCACCCAACAGCAACAACAATAACATACATAGATATTTGGTTTCCCCCTTTCATTTACCTTTGTAGTTACATCTGCCTTCAGCATTGTCAGATTGCCCCTCTTGCTCCCACAGAGCAGCTAGTATATTTGAACTGAGTACTTTTGTTATGAACAGTGCTCAGGTCTTCTGTTCATAGTATCACTATGAGTCATCTGCAACTCGATGGCACCTAACAACAACAACAACAATAACTTTTGTCTTGGCAGTGAAACTCTTACAGCTAAGCCATCAATGTCATGATGATTTATTTATTAATTTCTAGGCAATTCCATAATTTTTGTTAACCACTTTTAGCCTACTTGGGAATAGTTGATGAGTGATGATAAAATAATTCCTGTGATGATGAGGTCACAAAATATCTAAAGATCCATGTAAAACAAGATGTCTAAGATCCTATAATGTTTCTTAGATTTGTGAAATGATCAGGGAACCCAAATTATTATGATTAAGAGAATGAGGTTTGTTTTTGTGAAATGTTATTTTTTCCCCCTTTCATCTTTTGAAGACTTCTAAAAAACAATGAAAATCATGAAATAGCAATCCTTGTAATACTTAGAACTTAGCTCAACCAAAAACCCTAAAAACAAAAAATTCAGTTGAGTGTATTCCAGGTTCAGAAATTCAGTTCAGCCAAATAATTAATAAAAGAGGAAAGATCAATAGTAAGGTCTCTTCTTCATTAAATCTGGTAATATTCTCAGAAATTATTAATGAAATGAACCTAATTGTATTCTTTTGTTACCTTTTGGAAATTATACTATAATTCCAAGGAATTTGTTTGTATTATAAGCTCTAAGTCAAGGAATTTGCTGGTATTATAAGCTCTAAGTCTGTGTTTCATTGACTATGCAAAGGCATTTGACTGTGTGGATCATAACAAACTATGGCTGACTCTGAGAAGAATGGGAATCCCAGAACACTTGATCGTTCTAATGCGAAACTTATACTTGGACCAGGAGGCAGTCGTCAGAACAGAGCAAGGGAACACTGCATGGTTCAAAATTGGGAAGGGCGTATGCCAGGGATGCATCCTATCTCCATACCTTTTCAACCTATATGCAGAACAGATTATCTGGGAGGCTGGGCTCTATGAGGAGAAATGTGGGGTCAAGATTGGTGGACGATTTATCAACAATCTGCGTTATGCAGATGACACAACCCTGCTTGCTGAAACTGAAGAGGACCTGAAGCACCTGCTGCAGAGTGTCAAGGACTGCAGCCTGCAATATGGATTGAGGCTCAATGTCAAGAAGACAAAGATTCTCACCACTGGACCAATTGGCGGCATCAGGATGGAATGTGAAGAGATTGAGATTGTACACAGCTTTAGTTTGCTTGGCTCCGCAGTCAACAGTCTTGGCACCAGAAGCCAGGAAATTAAAAGGTGCATTGCCATGGGAAAGTCTGCTGTTAGGGACCTCTCCAAAGTACTGTAGAGCAATGGTGTCTCTTTGGAGACTAAGGTGCATCTGATACAGGCCATGGTCTTCGCAGTCACTTGTTATGCATCAGAGAGTTGGACCATGACCAAGGAGGATAGAAGGAGAATTGATGCCTTTGAGCTGTGGTGCTGGAGAAGAGTATTGAGAATATTATGGACTACTAGGAAAACAAACAGATTTGTCCTGGAAAGGGTTAAACTGGGTGGCTCCTTGGAGGCAAGGATTCTGAGGCTCTGTCTAACATACTTTGGACATGTTGTGAGGAGAGAGCGGTCCTTGGAGAGGGACATCATGCTTGGGAGGGTGGAGGGACAGCGCAGGAGGGGAAGGCCCTCTATGAGGTGGATTGATTCAGTGACTGGGATAATCGGGAGTGTCAGAGACAATGCAGTTGGCACAGGACAGAGCAGAGTTTAGGGCTGTTGTACATAGGGTCGCTATGAGTCGCAAGCAACTCGATGGCACATAACAACAACAACAACAACATAAGCTCTAAGTAGTTAGAACTAAGCCAGAAGTCCAGAGAAATACAGTTCTTGATCGATTTGGACATGAATCAGGGAAGTAGCAACAATAAAAAAATCAGTCGACTCAAGTCAAAGCTATTAGGAGCCCATCATCCTGTGTCTCAATTTTCTAGTCTTTAGGTGAGATAACAGAATCCTCCTTTGGTTGGTATGGTGAATTGTTAAAAACTGTTAAGACCCTATACCTTATCACTTAAGGCTAAAACTGACTAAGTCAGTTTATCATTGTCTCTTTCTTAAGTTGACTAGCTTATAAATTCATGCATTTTTATTGAAGTGTTTGCTCTTTTTATGTGCCGGCATGTCAGCCATGACATGTAGTGGCATTATGAACAGTAGCTCTGAACCTTGCCCTATAGTGAGCCAGTCTCACTCTATCTGACACATCTACCCTCATTACCCCAGTTCTTGTGTCAAGCATTTCATCCAGGGTCTTCCTTACTTGCACTGTCCCTCTGCCCTTCCAAGCATGATATCCTTCTACAAGGACTTGTCCTTCCTGGCAGCATGCCCAAAGGATGTCAGATGGAGTCTCAAAAATCCTTGCCTACAAGGAACAATTTTATTTCACCCTCTCCAAGACAGACCTGTTAGTAATCTTAGCAGTCCATAGTATGTTCAATACTCTTCTCCAGCACCACGCTTCAAAAGCGTTAATTCTTCTGTCATCCTTGGCCATTGTCTAGCTCTCTCATGCATAGCAAGTAATTGTGAAGACCGTGGCCTGGATCAGGCATTCCTTAATCTCTAGACTGACATCCTTCCTCTTAAGTACTCTGAAGAGGTCCCTGATGGCAGATTTTCTCAATGCAATTCATCTTTTGATTTCCTGACTGCTGATAACATGAGTGTTGATTGTGGAACCAAGCAAGATAAAATTGTTAACAATCTCAATCTCTTCTCCATCTATAATGATGCTGCCAGTTGGCCCAGTGGTGAGAATCTGTTTTCTTCATGATGAGCTTCAATTCATATGACCCTCTGCAGCAAATGCTCCAGGCCCTCCTCAGTTTCAGCAAATAAAGTTGTGTCATCTGCAACAACAAAGTTGTTGATGAGTCTTCCTCCAATTCTAATGCCACATTCCTACTCATAAAGTTCAGCCTCTTGAATGATCTGTTATGCATACAAATTGAAAAAGTATGGAAACAGGCAGGACACATCCTTGACTCACTCCTTTCCTGATTTTGAACCTTGCAGTATTTCCTTTCTCTGTTCTGTTAACTGTTTCCAGGTCCAGGTATAGGTTTCACATGAGCACAGTCAGGTGTTCTGGGGATTCCCATTCTTCTCAGAGTTAGCCACATTGGTTGTGATCCATGCTGTCAAATGCCTTTGCATAGTCAATGAAACACAGATAGACATTTCTCTGGTACTCTCTGCTTAACGCCAAGATCCATCTGACATTGGCAGTGATGTGTCTAGTGCCACGACCTCTTCTAAACCCAGCTTGTATTTCTAGTAGTTTTCTGTTGATGTACTGTTTCAGTCGCTTTTGGATAATCTTCAGCAGGATTTGCCTTGTGTGTGATATTAGTGATATAATTCTATAATTTATGGTCACATAAATTTTAAAGAGTAAAACATTTTTGTGTATTTCTTGAGATTTCACATTTCAAAAATATTAGTTTCTCTTAATAAAAATACAGAAATTTCTTTGTCTCTTTCAACTCTGTTATTACAGCTTTTATTAAAAATTGGCTTGTATAATTTCTTTAGTCATTAGATTCTTTGCCATGTGATATCTACTTAAAATGGAAGGAAATTAAGGCTCTTAAGAAATCATGCAAAAATCAATTCTAAAGTTACAGCCTTTTTCTCTTATTAAGCTATGTAGCCTGCTCAGCAAAGAGAAAGAGATAACTAACTTGATTTATCTTTGTAACTTGTTTAACTCACTAGTTAATTTAGACAGAATAATTGCTCATTTCAGGCTCTGGCCATAAATGAAGAGAATGCTTATTCCAGTGCCATATCTGTTCCCTTGAGAAGTCACTTATGCCTTGACAGAGAAACTAACATTTTAAGGCTTGAAGACTGTCAATTTGACCCATGATTTAACACTTTATGGATATTGGCTGGAAGTTGAACTATCAACGTGTTGTCAGCCTCACTGTGTAGTTTATTTTGCATGAAACTCTCTGTACTTTCATCCTATTTGTCTCTCTCACTGACTGACATACCCAGAACAGATTATTTTGGATGACTTTGAACTGAAAATATCACAGAGGAAACGAAAATGGGAGAAAGGCTCGACTGAATACTACTTAAGCTTTCTTCCAGCTCATCAGATTCTTTAAGTTTATTCTCTACCAATAAATGTGTTGTTAATTGCCATTGACTCAGTTCCAATTCATGGCCACTACATGTGTGTGGAGTAGAACTGCTCCGTAGGGTTTTCAAGGTTCTGACCTTAGCAAAAACAGACTGCCTGTTTTGTCTCCTGTGGTATCAATGGATGGATTCAAGCCAAAGCTTCCAGTTGATTCATTCCAGTTCAACTCTACTGAGAATTTGCATTTCCACTCCAGATATGCAGGATCATATATATACTTATGAATGACCTGGGGGATCCTACTGAACTGTACGTTCTGATTCAGTATATTTCTAGTGGAAGCAGCAATTTGGATTAGATTCAGTTGGTTCAAAGCCCTGGTGCAAGCCACTAACTTTTTAGCTAGTAATTGAGTGCTTAACCATATGTGCCTTACCTCACATGTAGAACCATGATTTTTCAGTAACATTAATCATTGATTTATCATCTTTTTTACACATTCTATTTTGTTTATGCCCTTAGATTTTCATTAACAATGAATGGCAAAACTCAGAGAGTGGGAGAGTGTTCCCTGTCTATAATCCAGCCACAGGAGAACAAGTGTGTGAAGTTCAAGAAGCAGACAAGGTATGTCTTTCTTAGAGATTAAATAATTATGAAAGGCATGAATTTGAAAATGATTATTTCATAATGAAATTATTAAATAATTAAAAACCATGGTATATATTCACATAATGGAAGACTCCGCAGTGCTGGAAAAACAAGGAACTTGTAAGACATTACACAACATGAGTGAGTCCGGAGGACATTATGCTGAGTGAAATATCTCAGTCACAAAAGGACAAATATTACATAACACCACTATAATAACACGGAACTGACAGGGAGGGTTAGGGAGAAAGTTGGAAAAGAGGGGTTAGATAAGGAACACTGCATTGGAACAGATGAAGGAAAGAACTTTTTAAAACAAATGTCTGATGGATTAGGCATTACTTGTATGACAATAGTCCAGAATAAGAGGTGCGTTGCAAAGTGGACTGGGGGAGGGAGGAAATTATTGCAACAATGAATGAATATTTTAAAAATATAACAAAGTGAACTGGGGTAGGGAGAAAATTGTGCAACAGTGAATGAATGAAAATCCAACTTTTCTGTAGACCTTTATTAAAATTACAATTTTAAAAAATAAAATAATTCACTTCAAACAGATTGTATAACATGTGCTTTCCAGACAATATGACTTTTCTTTACTTTTTTGTGAGAACAGATGCCCTTCGCAGTTTTGAAAGTGATCTCACTCCTCTCTAACAGGCAGACATAGACAAGGCAGTGCAGGCAGCCCGCCTGGCTTTCTCTCTTGGGTCTGTGTGGAGAAGAATGGATGCTTCAGAAAGAGGACGTCTGCTGGATAAGCTTGCAGATTTGGTGGAACGAGACAGAGCCCTCCTTGCAGTAAGTAGTCTAAGGAATCATTAAGTCTTTCCCACAAATTTACATTCTAGATTCTTCAGTCTTTCTGAAAATACAACGCTAAACTTACATGGAGGTACAAAACATAGGGAGGACAAAGAAAATGAGAGCTGCTTGGATTTGAGAAGTAGATGGGTAATCAGCCAAGAGAATCTCTTCTCATTGAAATTTCAAGAGCACAATTATGACCTTCCTTCCTTTCTACCCCTGAGTCTTGCCAAATAAAACAAAGCCAACAAAAAACAGGAGAGTCACCACATTGCTTGCAGAAAACCAAAGTCAAATGATTCTTTTGAGAAACAAATCAGTTTTTACCTCCCAAGAGTTAATGAATTCCTTTAGACACAGAAGACAAGATAGGGACCTCGTACAGACTTAAATTCTGTTTGTTCTTCTGCAACTTTCCAGTATTAATAGACCAGGAAACAACAACTTTCTTTGACTAAAACCTTTATATTTTTTCACATAAGGAATTTGTGCTGGTGTCTTTATTGTTTTAGTAAAAGCAGATTTCTTAGTGAATACAAGGGTTTTGGTCTGCTGTACATGAAGGATATCCAAATGGATGACCTACAATTGGTTGATTAAACTTTAGCTTTCCTTGTTCAGTCAGCACTGGGCTGTTAATTTAAAAGTTAGAAGTTTAAACCTATCAGCTACTCCAAAAGGAAAAAAAAAAGTGACAACTTATTCTAAAAATTTGTAACTTTATGGGGCAGTTATAGTATGTCCTTTGTCATTAAGACATCAGGTTAATTTGGTATTTTGGCCATCAAGCTATAACCTGCCCTGTACTTGGGAAAACAGATTATTATTGAGCATGATTGGAGACGGGATGGGTACCCTTCCTCACTAACAGTCTACCATGGCTTTTCCTTTTTACCATTTACCTCAGAGATATTTCCATGAGATGGCAGATGGGCTATGAAAAAGATATTTCATAGTGGAGTAGTTCATTCTTGTATGTTTACAAAGTACCTCACCCTATCGAAAGTTTGGAAAAGCCCTACTCTGTGTGAATTTAGGGGAGCTCCTGACCACAAAACTGAATTTGTATTACAATGAAGTTGAAAGTAGAACAAGAGCTGGCAGTTCTGAAGTGAATTTGGCTAGTGTCAGTAACTCCTGGAGACCATTTAAGCAGCCAGATTCCGCTTTTATGGTCTTCTTCATTTCTATACAGCTTGGCTCTGTGCTAACTGCTTTATAATTTTTGGAAAATATAATACCTTTTGATGAACATCTATGTGTTCTAAGAAGTATTATTAAATCATTTCTATTGATTACTTTGAATAAAAGCACCCTGATAAACAGTGAATAAGGAATACCAGAGAAGAATTGGTACCTTTGAATTGTGCTGTCAGAGAATATTGAATATGCACCACGGACTGCCAGAAGAATAAACACTGCAGCCATACAAAGTTCCTTAGAAGGGAGGATGGCAAGACTTTGCTGCAATTACTTTGGACATGTTAACAGAAATGGTTCATCCTTGGAGAAAGATAATATGCTTGGTAAAGTAGAAGGCCAGCCAAAAAGATGATCTTTGTTGAGAAAGGTTGACACAGTAACCTTTTATGGGCTCAAGCTGACGAACAGTAGTGAAGATGGCATAGGATAGGGAAGTATTTTGGTCTGTTTTTTTAATAGGACTGCTGTGAGTTGAAACCAACTCTCTAATCTCTAACAACAGTAACAAATCCATGGTGCTTCTAACAACAGTAACAGATACACAGTGCTAAATAATGGTGAGATTTTAAAACTAGCTCTACCTTGTTTAAACAGTAAGTAGATAAATTGTATTGCAAATAATATAATCTTCCTTTCATGGAATGAAGAATATTTCTGTGTCAGATTGTACTCAATTTTCACAGTAGTATACACACTAGGGAGAAGAAGATGAGATGGCAGACACATATTATTTGTTACCTTCATTTGTTAAATTTGTAATACTTGCCTATCTTTCAAGTGAAATTACTCTTTCCATTTAAGTATGCTCATGTATCTGTGTGTTACAAAATTAACTAATTGTAAAATGTGTCACTCAAATAGTGACATAAATATTCTAAAGCTATTTAATATCACTACTTTCATTTAATAGATCAGTATCTTACTCTTAATAGATAATGGTTGTTAACAGAAATATTTACCAAAAAGCAAATCTTTAAGTTGTTAAAGTATGATCTTCCCTGGAGAAGATCTTGTTTATTTGGTGGTAATAAATAGACTAGCATGCACTGTGGATATTCCAATTCTCAGCAGGGAACTTGGCAGCTGCTGAAGACTTTTTATATTCTCTTCAGTCGTATTAAGATCCCATATCCTGCTCCTCTTTATGGATTCAGATTACTTATGTATACTCAAAAAAATCCGCACTCAGCTCTGCCTTGTATGACTATAACAGAAGCTTGTTTAATATGCAGAACTTTTCTTCACCATTAGTTAAATAGATATTATGTGTATATATTTGGTTTGTGGTTACTGGAAACAGCTCAGCGAATGTGTGTGTGTGTGTGTGTGTGTGTGTGTGTGTGTGTGTATTTGTGAGTTTTAATAGAAACTAAATCAAACTGATTGTCAGACTTGTCCAGAAATGCCTCAAAATTCATATTCTGTCTCTCATTTTTATTTTACTCAAGACATCATTTAATGTGTTCCTGGAAAGTGCTGGGGATTTACTTTTTCTTACTTGCTTTTTCTACAGACCATGGAATCCCTAAATGGTGGCAAACCATTCCTGCAAGCTTTTTATGTGGATTTACAGGGTGTTATCAAAACCCTTCGATATTACGCAGGCTGGGCTGATAAAATCCATGGAATGACCATTCCTGTAGGTATGTAAAATCGGAATAAATTGCAAAGGGGGACCTGAACTTCTGCCAGAAACAAACCATGACCATCAAACACAACAGCAGTCACATAGAACACTGATGTGGGTTCACTTAGAAGTTTTTGAATTGAATAAAGAAGAGACAAATTAAGTCATTAACTCTGACATGCCATTCCACATATAAATATAGGGGCAAGCCACTTGAATCAGTATACCAGTTAGCTAATAAAGATGCAAATATTTAAAAAAAAATTTTTTTAAGATGCAAATATTTGTCATTTGCGCAATGCTAAACACTATGCATCTCTGAGTGCTAGGGTATGAAGGGGAGTTTGGGGAAAAATTCTATTAAAAATTACGATTCAGTCCTTTTCTTGAAGCATAAGATCTACTAACTTGAAATACAGTAAAGTGTTGCAGTTGTTTCTTTCAGTGGTGAAATAATTTACTTTTTTATGATTTTCTGTATTGTCAGCCTGATTTTCTGTATTGTCAACCTGTAAAAACAATTGTTATGTGCCATCAAGTTGTTTGTGACTCATAGCGACCCTATGTACAACAGCCCTAAATGCCATTCTATCCTGTGCCAACCTTGCTGTCTCAAACATATTCATTCCCACCATTCCACTCACAGAATCAATCCATCTCATCGAGGGTCTTCATCTCCTGTGCCATCCCTCCACTCTCCCAAACAAGATGTCCCACTCCAACATGCCCAAAGAATGTCAGATGAAGCTTCAGAATCCTTGACTCCAGGGAACATTCTGGCTTCATCCTCTCCAGGACAAACCTGTTTATTCTCCTAGTAGTCTATGGTATATTCATCACTCTTCTGCAGCACCACAACTCAAAGGCATCAATTCTCTTTCTATCATCCCTATTCATTGTCCAACTCTCCGATGCATAGCACTTAATTGCAAAGACTATAGCCCAGATCAGGCGCACCTTAGTCTCCAGCCTGACGTCGTTGCTCTTCAGTACTCTTGAGAGGTCCCTCACAGCTGACTTTCCCAATGCAATTTGTCTCCTGATTTCCTGGCTGCTATTACCAAGAGTGTTGACTGTGGGACCAAGTAAACTAAAACTGTTAACTATCTCAATCTCTTCACCATCCATACTGATGCTGCCAATTGGCCCAGTGGTGAGAATCTTTGTTTTCCTGGAAAATCCCTCTTCACCCTGTTGTTTTGGGTTTTTTGTTTTTGTTTTGTTTTTTAAGATTAAGACCAGAAGACAAAGTTAAGAGCATAAAACAATTAGAAGTGTCTACAAAAGATTGCTAAATTGTATGGAATGTCGTGCCAACTGTGGTGGTTTAAAAGAGAAGGAATGTTTGTTTCCAAGACAAAAATAGTTGGTGGAGCAGTTTTGAGCTAAAGTCCAATATTTTAAAAAGTCTCAAATTTACTCTCATTGAGTTCCTTCTGACTCTTAGGCATCCTCCATCAGACCTGGAAGGCTGTAAACCCTAACAAGAGGAGGCTGCCCCTCATGCTTGCAAGGAATCTGAGTTAAACAACTGAATACAGATGACCTTTTGTTTAAAAGTTTTCTTAAAACAAAAAAACACTATAAACTACACCACGAGCCTGCCACTGATGACCTACTGAGTTCTGTCACAGCATCCCAGAGAAGACAATGCTATTCTACACGTCCCTGTGTACGAAGAAGTGAAATAGTTGTTTGTTGATTTGTTGTTGTTTTTTCTTATTCACATAACAAATAATGTTTTAGAGGAAAAATTGTGACATTAGAGCTTGGGCTTTTAGTCATTTACTAGAGAATGTATTTTCATTGTTGTTGTTGTTAAGTGCCGTCAAGTCATAGACGACTCATAGAGACCTATGAATGAAAGACCTGAACACTTGTATAACTTTCTTCGTTTCTCCAAGTTCATAGAGTTTCTGGAGGCAGACTATTTCAGAAGTGGATGCCAGTCCTGCTTCCAAGCTTGTTTTAATCAGGGAGCTCCACCAAACACTGTCCACCATGGGTAACCATTATCACATTTGACACATCAGTGTCACAGTGTTTAGCATCACAGCAACCATGAGTTACCTCTGTACTGTAAATGGACAGACTAGTCCTATACCACTCAAAAGAATGTTTGACAAAAAACAATTAAAACCATTTATTTTCTATACTGAAAGGAAAAACTGTTATTGTAGATGTAGACAAACTAAAAGAAATGAGGATTTTGAGAACGAAGTGAAGAGAATGGGAGTTCTTGTTGTGTACCAGAGTTGGACCCAACCTATAAATAGAAAAAAATTTATACATTTTATATATAGATATAAAATGTATGTATACAGGGAAGGAAATATATGTGTATTCTGTCAATAGAAGATGCTGCTAAGTTCTGGGCTCTCTGGAAAACAGCTTGCTTTTCATAGAGGGTGCATACTAGGAAGAGTGGAAAGTAACTCTGAGAACTTTAGATTATCCCCATCAGAGCCTTGCTAGCCAGGCTTGGGAGTATCCATTTACCAGAAAAGGGGATATTTTGGCTGATAGTGCAGATGGATTCAAGCAATGCTTCTCAAATTTTAATGTGTATGTGAATTATCCGTAATCTTTTTAAAGTACAAATGTTGTGGAGATTCTGCTTAGTATGTGCCATTGAGGCAGAACTGATCCACAGCTGACTCTCCAGTGGGTTTTCAGAGGCAGTAAATCACTTAGGAGGAGACTACCTATCTTTCTTCCACAGAGCAGCTGGTGGATCCAAATCATGTGGCTTTGTGCTAGCAGTACAACTTCTTATCACTAAGGCAGCAGAGCTCCCTAGGTGTAGGGTAGGACCTGATATTCTGCATTCTTAACCAACCTCCAAGTGATGCTAATGCTGCTGGTCCTCTAGCTTAAATAGCAAGGAAAGGATATAGAAACCAGAGCCAAGCTAAATGACTGCTGCAGTACCTCATCCAGGCAAGAGGTAATAAATAAAGAAGTTACAGTGAGAGTGGAAAAGAGACAGACAAAACTTTTAAAGAACAGTTTTTAAAATTACCTCTAAAAATTACTGGTAAGAGAACAAACAGATCTGTTCTGAAGCAGGTGAATCAAGACTCCTTCACAGAGGCAAGGATTTTAAAGCTCCGTCTGACATACTTCAGGCATGTACAAGGAGGAACTAGTCCTTGGCGAAGAATATCATGCTTGGGAGGGTGGAGGGACAGAGCAAAAGAGGAAGACCCTCAGTGAGATGGATTGACTCAGTGACTAGGGTAATAGGAGTAGGTGCAACAGAGACAATGAGGTTGGCTCAGATCCTGAGCAGGGTTCAGGGCTGTTGTACATAGGGAGTCGCAAACAACTCTGGCACATAACTGCAACGAACAAGAGTGATGTGACATATTGAATATTAGCTTCTTCTTCAGTGTATTCAGAAGGTTAGAGAAGATTATTCTGATAGAACATCAGACTATGAGTTCAGTCCTGGCTGTAAGAATACTACAGAACAACTGTTCACTAGCATACATTGCTAGTTTGAGGATGGCCTGCCTGCAGTGTAGTTAATATACCGGGTGACTATTAGGGTGACTCAGGAATGAAAACATTTAGCAAAAACTGGAAGCTCGTCAGTCTTTTAAAGTCAGCTACTGTTTGTTTGATTCTTTGTTTTGAAGTAAGGAAAGGTCATTTAATAAAGATTTATGCATTTTGCCTCATTCTTAACATACCATTTTACTGTCAGAACAACAAATAAAATTCAGCCATTTCAATCTATTTTCAACAACTATTCTAGTGATAAGGTGGAACATAAAGCTGTGTGCACCAATCTCTGACCTTACAATGTTTTGGTTTTCTTCTGCTTCCTCAGGAGGGAAGATTCTGATTAAATACCAATTTATTGGAGCCTTTGACAATGATGTTTTAGTGTCATATTTATCTGATGATTAGTGCATAATTGTTTGCCCTTATGCTCCTTAAAGACCCTAAGAAGGTAGTCCTAGGAACTTAGAAATGCAGGACTTCAAGAATGAGTTCACAGAAATTATATGCTACTCATAAACAAATGCTCAGTAGTTGAAGGGAAAGGTCAGAATTCTTTTAAACACTAATTTTTCTGTTTCTCTTATCTCCTAGCAAAGTTAAAGGGATATCAAGATGCAGGAGTCTGAGGTGAGGCCTGTAGGCAACCTTCGTAGGAGGCTGAGATTTAGTATGTTGCTGTGGTGCCTCAAGCAGCAGAGGGGAAGATGGAGACAAGGTTGTGCTTGCGAGCCAGCTTGCATCTGTGCTTGAGCTTTAAGAACATGAGGGTTTGTTGTAGGGTACCAAGAAGCCATTTATCCACTCCTTTGGCTATTCTAGTGCTTAGTGACTTTAGCTGAACTAAATTCATAATGCAAGGGTCTGATAGGGTCCATAGGATCATTGTGATCTGTAGTGGACTCAATAGCACCTAATAATAATCAAACCAGGGGTTCACTGGGAATGCTTGGAGGGGAGGTAGCAGTCATAATATTATTTTTGTCTATGATCAATCAATCCATTTGTGTTTATCACTTGTAACTGTAATTTAACATCCGCTTGACTTTGCCTCAATATATTTGACTTTTCCAAATTAAATCTAGAATATAAGAGGGGTTTAATTTATAACTAGGGGATATATATTGCATGATGTGCATTTCTCTGCCAAACATCAAAATTTTGTATTAGAGTTTACCTCCTCACCTAAGCATCAACCTTATTCCCATCTTCTTCATTCATTTTTTGCTCAACAGATATTTTTGAGCAGCTGCTATGTTTCAGGCTCTATGTTAGGCTTTGCCTTGAAGGTGTTCATAGAATATTAAGGTAAATAAAAAGGCAGTAGGATACCATGTTATTCACCAATATTAAGATTGTAGTTGGACACAGGGTTCTAGGAAGAATTCTTACAGACAAATCTGAATGGGAATAGTCTATGCCAAGCCTGGAAAGAAGAGAGTGCAGTGTGCTAGTGTATCTGAAAATATACCCAGATATAGATCTGGGCTAGAGCTTTTTTTTTTTTAA